GTATGATGTTTGCTTGACATGTCAGGGTTTGAATTCTCGGTAGTGGATGCGCACTGCTGATGAGTCCCAAATATAGGACGAAACGACCGTCCAGTGCTTTCTGCATTCTGTTGAGATTTCTATCAGACTCGATGAGTTACTCACACTCACACACACACACCATATACACTTACTTCAAGATACTGTCTCCTGTGGTGAATGATGTGTGCTGTTTATTTTATTAATAATAGCTTCTAGACTTTTGAATCTTTCCTTGCACTGAGTGCTGTCCAGTGTCTTATATTGATTGTTGTAATTTGGTTGTTTGTGAAAAAGAAAGAGGCAAATCAGGTTCCTAAATGTACACTACAGTTATGTATTGATTGAATGAAATTCAATATCACGTAAATTAAACAATTCTTTCTCATTTACTTTCTTCTCCGTAAATCCAAGAAAAAATTTGTTGCTCCCAAATACAAATTTAAAAACCTTACGCTTTCACCATATGATTTTTAACGTAACGATAATTCCTTCGATTTTGTGTGAAGAGAAAAGGATAAAAATCATTTTTCAACACAGAATCGCACTTAAAAAATGCTAAAAAGGACAATGAGTGAAGATTGCTAGAGTAAGAGGTGGTGGTGTGTGAGAAGCCAACTAAAAATAAAAATCATAAAAGCGGTTAAGTGAGCGATAAAAAAAATCGCACTTTAAAAACCTGATCAGATTGTGACTGAAGACGGCTTCTTACTGTCACTAATAACTGGAGATTCTTTGTAGTGTAGTTAAACACGAAAATATAATTTTTAAAAGGTACTAGGTCACTCATAGCACCAATACGTACAACAAAACCGGAAAGTTGTATTTGAATTCCAATAAAATATAAAAACTAATACTTTACTTTAAAGTACTGACTTAAAAAAATGTTACCTAAACTGAATTCAATCTTCATTTTTTTTAAATAACTGCAAACTTTACTAAAACAAAAAATTAGTCTTTATTGGTCTCAGTTTCGTCGAGAAAAATAAAGAAACGTGAAAAAGTGAAATATAAAAAAAAATAAAACTAGAGAGCCTTGTCACGCTGCTTCACATGTCACTACTAAATTCTTTTTATTTTTATTCAGGACAGCAAAATGAATTTACCTTTTTAAAAATCATACTTGAGCGTTGTTCGACTTGATCAATTCAGGTTTAACTTATGCGTGTGTGATGTGCCTCATTGGCAAAACCAGAAAAATATACAAAAATTAAAATTTTTCAGTACCTAATAATAATTGCAATGAAAAGAGAAAAGAAATCCAACCGAATATTTTTAATGTGATTTTTAAAAAAATTAAATATTCATAATCTGATTTTGAAATTTGAGCCCTTTGGACTTGTGGTTTTTATGAGTATAAGTTTTAAGAAAATGACCAATGACCAGATAACTGGCAGGAACTGTGAAAGGCTTGTAAACAAAGTTTAGCTAGAGAGAGAAGTCTACTTATCGACACATCCAAACACACTAACAACAAAATTATTATGTCACTTGGATTTTTTGGAAGCAATCAAAAAAGACATTGCAATTATTTTCTAACACTGAAAATTTATTTTAAATGCCTAACGGTTATCATGTTTTTCTTTCGTTTTTTGTTTTTTTACTCATCTAAACGAAACCATAATTTTTTATTCTCAAAAGACTAAGAGCAAACAAAGCGAGATTTGAATTGAGTTACGTAAGTGGAGTTATTAAAAACGACCAGATATGATTTACTACTTACATTCATTACAATATTCACAACGACACAAATGATACTTTTTATTATTTGTTATGTAAGTGATTAAATTCAGTTTTTGCTTTTTACACATATGTTCGAGTTCTTCGATTAAATAAATTTAGTCTCTGTAGAGAAAGAATCATTTCAGATGACTTGATTAAAAAAATACAATTCTTATGAATAGGAGGGCATTTTATTTGTTTTTTAGTAGTTTTTTGTTTGTTTTATGAAAGAAATTAAAACTGATTATTTTCCTTTGAATCTGATCCACGATTACTTTTAAATTTTATTGACAACGAAAATTGAAAATCTTAAAAAAAAAAAAAAGATCTTGAAGGAAGAACCATAAATCAGGACAATTCAAAAGTAATAATTTAGAAATTACTTATGCTTTAATTTTATTTTCCAGCATTTGAATTATTAAATTAATTAAAATTTAAAATAAGAAACCCTTTTCATAAATTTGGTAAACAATAAGAAATGATATCTTATTCAGCGTTAGGTAAAAAAAAAAAATTAAAATTCGTTTTCTAATTCCAGACCATCATTTAGCCAGCCCCATTACGTAATTTTACTGTCGGATCTAATAAACTAAAAACACTGTGTAGTGACTGTACTAAACAGTAAGTGTATCTTTTATTTTAAAAAATCATAGGCTTCAACCTTTATAACAAAAAAATTAAATTGTTTTTTTAAAAAATGGTTCAGCAGAATAAGCAAGTTGAATTTTAATTTTGAATTTGAGAAGAGATACGTCTCCCACAAACAGAAAATAGAAATTATAAGATTCAAAGATTTCTAGATCTTAAATTGACGTTAAAGGACAACTCCCTTCGTGATCTGAAATAGCAGTAGCAACAAGAAAAACATTAAAAAGAAAGGGGAAGGCATATTGTGAAAAATGTGAAGGATGAACATAGCTGAAATATTTTACACACAATCAATAACAGTCAATGGAATCTATGAGTAAGAAGACTGTCATACAAAAACAAAGAACACTGTTCACTAGATCCAATAGGGAAAAAATGCAAGGAGATAGGTATTTTTTCCTTTTATTTAAACTTAGAAAATATTTTCTTTAAACAAGGAAAGGCCAGATTCGAAAAGAAACATTGGAACATAAAGAAACCAACCATAATACCATAAAAAATAAACTGAAATCCGTTTCCAATTTGGGAGAAAAATTTATTTTTAAAATAAATCTCAGTGTTTCAACCATATTATTCAATAACTGAAATTTAAATAAAAATATAATTACTGCCAGCAAAAGCAAATTTAGCGACAAATAGTGTTTTTAAAATTTCAAAATAAATTTATTAGCCATTTTATTTTTATCTTTTTATTTTACTTTATTAAATTTCTACCAAGAAACAAAATGCCTAATTTTCCCAAAGCAGAGACTATATTACTTATACACGAGTATATTTTTTAATAATTATATTTTTAAAAATACTATTTTTTAAGATGAAGATGTCAAATCTGTAAAATCCGGTTTTTCCTGCTGATTATTTTTTAGTCGACATCATAAAAAAGGAGATTTTTTTACAATGTGTCTTGAATATTGTTGAGATTAATTTAATAATTAAAAAATCACTTGCAATAATGCCAATGAGGAAGAACTTCGACTCAGCACTCCTCATTATTTGTTTTAGCTCTGATATTTAGACGAGTAACACTCCTCTTGACTGACACATGCAATTTACATTGTTCAGTCATATTCTTATTCAGAGGTCATTTTAAAAAGCTTTATTATACACAGTAAAAACTATCCCACAATTAAAAAGATTAGTTAATCACATGTAGTACAGTAAAAACTTTTTGCAAGTATTGATGATTCTTTATTGAATGAGTACTGATGAATATGTAGAGAGTTTTAGGTCTTTGAGACAAGGAAACGTTTTAGTGAGTAAATGAAAAGGGACAAAGAAAGGCATAGAGAAATTATACACACATATATCTATATATATACACACACACATATATACACATACACACACATCTATATACACACATACATATATATATACACACATATATATATATATATATATATATATATATATATATATATATATATATATATATATATATATATATATATATATATATATAAAGAAGAAACACTGCAATACCATTACAATGAATTGTGGCTAGCAGATTTTAGGAATGTTTTGTCAATCTGTCGGTATTCTTTTTTACACTTAAAATTTATTTTTTTACACTAATTACAATTAATTATACTGCTTAAAAGGTGCAAAAAAACAAAACGTATTTTATGGAATTTTTTTTTATTCTGTAGAAAAATAGAAATTCCCTCCTAATGTCATATAAGGATAGGTCAAATGAAGAAGCCACTTGAGAAATGGAGTCTGTCATTTACTTGATAAGTAAACCAGGAAGTGGGATGGAAAACAAATTATAAATCCAGGACTTAGGATATATAGAATCTTTAGGAAATGGCTGAAAGCAAAATATGCAAAACATTGACTACAACAGAATAATTTTCGTAATGAAAATAAACAAATATTTTTTTTAAATGTTTACGGGCTTGAAGAAAAAAGTACGATGTATTGTAAGTTGAATAAAAAACAACAGCTGTTCAAGTGTTCCGAGAGGTCAGAAAGTGTCGACATTTGACAGTATATTCTCTAATAATGTCTCATTCAATAAGTTATAAAATTATTTTAGGGAGTCGGCTATAGAAAATAAAAGATTATTTTTGCAAAATGCTATCTCTGATTTATGTTGTGAGTATCACTGAGTTATTGTCTAAAATGAAATCTATTTTTTTTAAGATGAAAAGTAAAAAAAAAAAAAACATATGGCTATCTTGATTCTTGGGTCTCTCAAACAAAAATCAAAATTATCTAGCAAAATGAAATGAATACATTTTTTTCTAAACGATTTATTTTCGCATAATATATATATATATATATATATATATATATATATATATATTTGTGCGTGCGTGCTTGTGACTTCCTAGTCTTCAATATCCTCCTCTCCATATTGACAAGTGAAAATATTCACAGGACATTAAAATATTTGATATCCTGAAGGGGTGGGGATTTAAAATCATGAAAGTGATACTTACAATCATTATTCAAAATTGATATTATCTTTCTTTTTTAAATTTTGATATGTGACCTGATATAATACAACTTTCTTTATACAAATATTTGTGATGAACATGTTAGAATTTCAACAGAAAATTTATGGTTGATTTTAAAACTTTGTCAAAGACACTAAAAAGATTTCTTACCTTCTTTGTTTTGGTTTTTGCAATGCAGCTTCTTTCAAGTTTCACATCAGCTCCAATAAACTGTATTTTACAAGGTCCTATTTTGGTTGGAATGTACCCCTCCTGGTATTCCACAATGTCATTATTTGTAATACTAGATAAATCCAATGGGGTCAAAGGCTCTAATGCACCACTTCTCTTAGTTGGGCTAATATCATTAATAGTAACCCGTTCATTATCCAGAGTATAGTCCATTATATCTTCACTCTGAAGAATTTTAGAATCATTGTCAGGCGTTGGTGCTTTTGGTGCTTGCCTTTTCTTTGGTGTTGGATAATTGGAAGACACTGCATTATTTGATTTATTCAAACCTGCTGGGTAGTAAGTAATCCTGCCTTTGAGTTCATCCTCCTCCTCCAGAGCTCTTGAATTGGTCTTCCTAAGGATTACCTGACCAAGTTCCCCAGAATCACTCTTATCTTTCCTCATCAGGATTGATGGCAATCCTCGGTTATTCAGTTCATTTTTAGGGCTTGTCCCTGTCTTGTTTTCTGTAACAGGTTCTGCATTCTCCTTACTTTCAGAATCCAGCAGTTTGTCATTTTCTCGAGAGGTTAAGTTTAGTTTCATAGAGTCAGCCACATGGTTGGCTGGCGAAAGTCTATCTAGAGACGGTGATTTTAATGGTGCAGATGAAGGGGTCAAAGGTGTCAATAGGGTAGTTGGTGTGTTTGGCGTCTTTGGACTAAGAATATCTTTGGATGATAAATCCAGTTGATCAAGGCTAGAAGGCTTAGTAACTTCTGCCCTTTTCACCGAGCCTTCTGTCTTTTTGCCTTTATCATGTACATGATTAACTGAAATACTGTCACCACCTTTGACTTTTTCAGATGATGATGATGATGATGATGATAACAAGGAATCAGAAGAGGCTGAAGTAACAACTTTAGATGAAGCAATTGGAGCCTTGCCCTTCACTCGTGATGTCACCGGTTCATTGTTGTTGTTAGATTTGGAATTTTCAAACAAACTCCGAAACGATGAGACAGTATTAGGTTTGGGAAGTTCATTATCAACAGTTTGTTCCTCTATAGAAGCTGCAGTGCAAAGTTGGTGTTTAATTTCTACATTGGGAGGAGACAATGGTGTTGGAGTGCTGACTGCAGGTGTTTTTTCAATGATCACAATATCTCGATCTTGCATAATAGTACTAGCACTACTGTTGCTATCTTCAGCCTTGGTTTTTGGCTTTATATCCCTTTTTGACTTAAGCTCCAAGGTCAGAGGTGAAGTTGGGCTACTCTTATCCATGGTGTGGTTCAAATTCTCAACGCTCACAGCGCGGCCTTCTCTTAATTTCCGCCTTGTGTCCGTCAGACGTAAGTCCCCACCATTGAATGGATGTGATTTGGGCCGACCATCCAACAGATTCTCTACGCTGGATGACCTCTTAGGACGTAATATAGCTACATCCTCTTTAGTACTCATGGATGCAAATTTATCTTTTAGCCGACTAACAAAACCGGATCCTGGTCGGTACTCCATATCAGTATCGTCCAGTGAATTAGTAAAGTCATAACGATTGTTGATATTGTTGCAGTCATTACTACAGTCCAACTGACCACTTAAGTCCTTTTTGTCAATGCGTTGTCCTATCATCTTTTTGCCATCTTTCACAAAGAAAGGATTGTCATGGACCGGTATGAGTCGATCATCATCAATCAATTTTTCTCCACCATTGGTGCTGCCATCGGCATTTGCTGCCGTTGACGAAATCGAAATTGGACTCATGTCCGGAGATTGAATCAAATTAGTGTTTCCAAAAGAGTCGTTACTATTAGGGTCCGGGGCGTTGGGTGATCTTGAGAGAGCAGGGTTGGTTGTGGTCAGTGAGTTGTTGTCATCAAACGAAACAGCCAGGTTGTTGATGTCATTATGTGCTTGTTTTCGTTTCTGCTTCCAAACGGGATAGGATGATGCTGAGACAGAAATGGAAGCCAAAGAAGATGTCGGAGAAATCGATGATGATGATGAAGAAGAAGAAACAAGAGGAGGCGATGGAAAATGTTGGTGGTGCTGCTGCTGTAGTGATGTCGGTGTCGGAGTTGGTGACGGATCTTCACCTTCGTAGAGACGTTTTTTCTCAACTACGATGCTCCTCCATTCAGATATGGATTCCATCCCTTGCCGCTGCCGTCTCTTGGAAGCTCTTTCCCTCACACATAAACACTCACTCACACATACAATCACAATAAACACACTCACACACTCTTTCACTCACACTCACATACATGCATGCACAATATAGCGTTCCTTCTTTTTTTCTTTTTTTACCCAACCAAAACCACAACATATATCCGCATCAATTTACAAGTCATACAATTATACAAGTCAGTTGCATAAAACAAAGTAACGGCTAAGTCTACACACAGTCTTTCCTATTACAAACAAGAGACGTTTGAGAAAAACATGAAAAATTAAAAAAATAATCTACGACCGTAGAAGAACGAACCTGTGCTCTACGTTTTTAAATAAATCCTTTTTTTTTTACTTCTGTATGAAAAACGTAGAAGTTATTATTCTTTGTTATGTTTTAGAACAAGAGCAAAGCGAATAAGACTCCTCCTTTCCGTGTAGTGTGCATTTGATTGCCTTGTCGCCGCTAACTGACGCCTAAACAACTCTTGACTGCTTTCCGTGCTTACATTTAAAGTATGACGTCATCCACCGACCTGTCCCGCAGCAAATATATATCGACCAGTGTTGAACAAAAAAAATTGTTTTCAGAACAGCTTTATTTTCTTCCTTATTTTTCTGGTTATTTTTAAAAAAAATATTTTTAGGTGCTTAGATGGGTTCATTTTCGGGTATGGACCAGATTAGGTAGGTACTCACTCACCTCGGACACAACAGTAACAGTAACACTAAAACAGTAACACGCTTAGTTGCACACATGCACTCGCACTCACATTGACTGTCAGTGTCATGTCAATATTCAATAATTTTCAGATTTTGTGTGTATGTGGGTGTTCAAAATCGGATTCGCGTAGAAAGCGTGCTGTGTTATATGTTGACATAAATCTTGTTTTGTTTGCTAGTGCTTTATTTCACAATTAGATAATTTCAATAATTTGTATATGAATTTTCATTATGGTGCGTGTACTCAAGTGTAGTGTATTTCTTTATTTCCCATAAGTGTGTGTCTGAATGTGTTTGTAGGCGTTGTTATGTGTCATTCAAGGATGTGTAATAATGTGTATGCTATTCATGTGTATGTCGCCTTTTTAGTATTTATTTACATTTTTGAAATGTGGGTGTGTTTGGTCAGCACTGATAGTGTGTGTGAGGTGTTTCGTCGTGTATATGCCTGAATCAGTGAATAATATGTGTCTATGTGTGTGTCACACAAATTAAATGTGTGTAGCATTGCAATTTCACTATCGTCAGTATTTGTGTACGTATGCGCTGTGTATCTTTAAGTTAAACTTTGCCTCATGCAATACCCGATAATCGACAATGTGCATACTGTGTGTAAAAGCACGAGTAAAAGAGGGGGCATTATTTTAAAAAACCTTCTTGACATCGCAGATTTTATTTATTTTTTATTTTTACAACTCACGTCATTGACTGATGAGGAATGATAAGATGTAAAAAAGTTCTCTATTTGAAGATTTGACACGAACTACAGGAATAAAAACTGTATCTATCTTTCCTTTTTTTTAGAGATCGGTAAAAATTTGACAGAAAAAAGCCGAACAAAAAGGAAAACCAAGTCCAAACGTCTTTGTTTCGCTCTTTTTTAGATTCTCTCGCGCTTTTTTTCACATTTTTATTTTTTAGAAGCTATAACTTTGATAAAAAATATATATAAAAAAACTATTTACTAAAGCGTATGTGCGTAAAAACGTGTGCATAAGTAAGTTTTTGTAGGTGTAGTGTACATTGTTTTGTATAGTTAGGCACGCGGAAATGAGCGTGTTTTACTGCTGTTTACTATTTTTTTATGTTCCCGTGTGTGTGTGTGCGCGTGTCTAATTTTTATGTATGTGATTTTCAATGGTGCGTGTAACTATCCTCCCACCCCCTGTCTCGCTCTCACTTAAACACACACACACACACACACACACATACATAATACGAAACAAGTACACTATATACACAATGGATGGGTGTGTTCGTCTCTACGTAAAAAAACACTACAACAAAAAAACTAAAAAGGCTATGGGTAGGAATTTTTCTTCACCTAACAACCACCCTACGAATAATTGCAATGACAAAAAAAAATATTGGTTGACTATTTTTTTTAACTACATTCGTTATTCTTGTACTGCATTTGTTGACGGTTGCTAGTAATCTCAGAGTGCCGGGAGATCGATCCTAACTTACATGTCCCGTTTGTCTCTGTGTTATGTCTAAGACTGAACTTTACCTAAGTTAAATTATAAATAATGAGCATCTTTCATGAGTGAGAAGAGGGTCATTTACCATTTTCCCCTTTAAAATGGGGAAGTCGTTGATTTGGGATACGACCTGTGCCGATAAATTTTTGACCGGTAATTTGATCAGGACGCGGAGATAAAAAAAAAAGAAAAAAAGAAGTAGTTAAATCTTCTCTTGCGGACAGATTTATTTTTTACTTCTGTGGCAGTGGAGTTGTTGACCATCGTTTGATGGCGATCCTTCGGAGGGTTGGCGTCTCGATTTAGAGACGAGCCTCGCGAAACGTAGTGGCTCTTGCATTGTGTCAAGGTAATGCTTTCTCCATCATTGCGGCTGGCAGAGGATAGCAAAAAAAAAAAAAAAATTTTCATTTATCATCCACTAATGTTTAATTTAAAGGACTCTTGACAATCCAAATCACAATTAATGTTAAATAAATATGCTTCCAATAATTTTGGTAAAAAGTTTAAACTAATTTATTTACATTTTTACAATAAATACTTTGTATGCAATGGTACATGTGTGTGAACTGAGGACAGATTTCTTGTGAATATATAGTTTCATCGAAAACAATCTTATTGGAAACATTCGTAGAAATGGACATGTGTCCCATATAGAAAAAATTCATACAATTTAGTAAAATGTCATTACACTTAACAGTGTACAGGAGAAAAGGAAGTAATTAGCATATTGACTTATTGAAAAGATGGTATGGATGCAGTTTCAGTTGTTGGTGAGTCTTTTGATCTCTAACCATTTCACTTGTCTCTTCAGGTAAAAGGAGTTACTTGGAAAAGTTTTTATTTTTTTCATTTCACCTCAAGCAAAGCAATAAAGCCTCTAAGTCACAAGAAGGAGTTACTGAGTGTGAAAGAATATAAGAACATTACAAAGGAGATAGAACAATAGAAGAACATGAATTAAGAAGACAGAAGATAATGATTGACAATGCATTTAACTTTTTGAAAGGATGCTGAAAGAGGGTTCCACAAGTGAGGAGTGGAAGAAAATGTTAGCAAAGAACTTATGGTTACATCTCTCACCATTTCAACAGTAAAATGATGAGACCTAGCTGCCAATCTAGTACTGTGCTTAAAATTAAGATACCAAAAAGGAACATTCATCAAAACAATTACCATGAAAATATTTATAGAAAAGGTACAGGAAAGCTACATTACAGCAGAGGAAAAGTGACTGAAGCTGAGATGACAGGTTTTTCTTTGAAGATCTCTAAATACATAATAGAAGGACCAGAGCAGATGTGAAAGCAATATTCAATGCATGGATGAATAGTAGACTTATAAATAGATAGATTCTGGCAAGTAAAATTGTCTAGCATGACACAGTGAACCAACTTTTCTAGCATCAGACCTAGAAATTGATTCAATATAATCTTTCCACTTCATGTCAGTGAAAAGCATGAAACAAAGAAGGCACAATTGTATACATTTTCATAGGCAAGCAGGCATTTTTTTAATTAACTGATGATGTGTTGCAGTCACAAATTTATCTGCTTTCAGAAAAAAAAAATTACTCAAACCATCAGTGATTTTTATACTCCATGATCTTTACTATGTTTGCAATATTATTTTAGATTTTATTTTTGGCAGTTTTATTCCTGGATATTAGTAAAATATCTCCTGCTCAACTCATGAATCAATTTCTGTATAATTTCTAATCTTAAAAAAAATCCATGTTATTTGTTTTCCAAAAGATGAATTCATTTAATTTCAAAAAAAAATTATTTTGATAATTTATATTAGAATTATTGGAAATAGTAATACTCAGTTTATCATCCAAATTGAAACTGCATGTATTATCACCTGTTTATCTTTGAACATTGGCATCACTCTTATCTGCATATAAACTATCATTATCTAAAATATTATCTACACAATTTTGCAATTTTTATCTTTAGAAATACTTTTATTTTAACATAAGGTTTCAGTTTATCAACAGATACTTGATTATGGATATTATCATTCATCTTAATGAGAAAATGTTTTGGTAAATGCTGTAGGGCTCTGTATAAGGCAATTCCAAAAGATTGCTTAATATAATCCACCCTAAATTATACTTTAAATCTGAACATAAGATCAAATTTAGTGTTGTTTTACACAAGTCTTTAGTAAATTTACTTCAGTGAAGTAAACTCTGTAAAATTTAAAGAATTATCATTCATTGTATCAAATGGATTGATTAATGGTTGGAGATTTAATATTCAGAAACCAGTTACAGCACAAAAAGGTGAAAAGACTGATACATTATTTGTACTTGTATGCAAAATATTGCAATTGATAAGGCCAAAAGCCATGATTGTTTACAAGCTATTAACTGGTGTTGTAATTGTTCTGTGTACCTTTCTTACTGAACTATTATGCTGTGGGTGGTGATCAATTATACTTAATTTGTGAAAAACAACTTTTGATAGTTCTAAAAACAACTAAAATGCAAACTGACTTCCACTGTCACTCACTTTAACTAACTTCATAGAAGATCCAACAAGGTATAATAGTTATCAAAAATAAATTTACACATAACTTTCAGTATAAAGGGTCTTAGAAAAATAGATACTTGTAATTAATACCTAAAGCTGGAAATGCTTTAAGGTTAATAAAAGATTGAATTTCTTCATTAGATTGTACCTCAATGACAAATCACAGATATCTACTTGTATCACAAACGTTGATTGTGACATCCAATTGGTTACTATATTCTGATTCTCTTTAATATATCATATG